CTGCATTTACCAAATAAAAGTAGTGGGTGCTCAGAAAGCAAGTAATAGATTAGAGGTCGGAGACAGTAAAGTCAAGAGATGTGTTGTGGTTGGCATGCTCACTAAGAGCAAAGATGTGGAATCTGGTGGACTGGAGTCTAAGTCCTGTTAGGTCTATGTGACCTTGGGCAAATGCTTCAAGCATGCCCCTTTATGCTTCAGTTTACTGTAAACTTGTAATGATGTCAGGAACCTTATATGATTTGTTAAGGATTATGTTCCCTAAATTTTAATGTATATATAACTATATATGTGTAGCATAGTGCTTGTTTTATGAAAGTACTCATAAAAGCTAGGAAGAAAAACTAATAGCATTCAACAAATATGAAAGTGTTTATGTATGTATGGCTTAATGTGAATAATTAAGAGATCTGTATCATGCTGATTTCTCTTTGAACAATAAACTCTTACTTACAAGTTGGTGTTTCCTACAGAGACCTTTTTTTAACATCCTTTTGTGTGTGTGTGAAACTAGAGAAAAATGGACTCTTGACCTCTATCTAATCCACAAAGCACATTTATCTTTCATAAATGAAGTTATTTTCCTGTGTTGATACTTAAGGGATATTGCTTTGTGTGATCCTGTAGTAAGCCATTGTTCCTTCCGTTTTAGCAGTATTATAGTTTTATCCCATGTGGAAAGAAATTAAGTTGGTACCTATAAAAAAGTATACACATCAATAGTGATACCAGAAATATTTCAAAGGTGATCATAAAAAGAAAGACAGTTAATACTTATAGATGAGTTAGTTAGAACATGCCAAGCACTGTTCTAGTCACTTTACATATGTTAAATCATAGAATTCTCAAAACCACCCTGTAGGGTCAATGATAGTATCTCAGTTTTACTGCCGAAAAACAAACTCAGAGAGGTTAGGTAACTTTCCAAAAGTCACAGGATAGATAACAATATACGCATTATGACCAGGGACACCAAATCACTTATAAACCATTCATTCCAAGACACTATTGAATGTGAAAAGGGGACAAAAACAGAAACTAAAATTCACCCTAATTTTGGTTGAAGACCAAACACTTGCAATACTTACATCATTTTTTTAAATCAGTAAATTAGTGGGTTTTTATTATATGTCTACTTGAGAAATATATTGTCCTAAGATTCTAAGATGATTATTGGTATGCTCCAAGAAAGGTGTTCTTAATTAAAGCCATTAGCACTTATGGTAAATAAAAATGTGTTTGAGCTTCCAACATAATGAGTTTTACTTCAGGGACACAAGCTCAGCCAATATTTTCATATGCTGTCTATAACCTTTCACAATAGAAGAATGAACAAAGTACTGGTTCATTAACTCACTAATTGTCCTTTCTTACTACAGTTATTAGATAATGTTCTACTTTTCACTGTAATGCACCAAGATTGAGAGTTCAAAGAATAGACATCCCCGAAACATAATGAATGGTGAATGGTGTCTTTGCCTCTTTCTGCAGGTTAAATTAGTATCTGATTCCACAGGGAGAGCAATAATACAGAGTCATTGATAGGTCATTTCCTGGCTGGGACTCACTATCTTGAAGGGAGAACGGAAAAGAAAAGGTTTCTAGATTGTAAGCTCCTTGAGAGAGTTTACAGGAACACTATTTACTATTGGTGTCTGACCCCAAAAACAGTCTTGACAGGCACTCAAATATTTACATTGAATAGAAGTCAACCTGCTAGGAAAATCTATATTCCTATGTATCTGGCTCTCCCCACATATATAAATAAATAATAAAAAGAAAATAAATGTTCATTGTTTTAAAAAGATGTATAAAATTTTATCAATTCCAAAACTATTTTATTTTTGAATATCTTGACAATTGGAGAGCATCTTATAGTCAATGGAGTATCATTGTCTAATTGGCAGAGTGTCTTCTTTTTTCTTCCTTGTGGTACATAAAACAAAGGTGTATTTTATCATCAATGGTATTTTAGATTTGATGAAATTCATTATATATCAGACATTAGCAAGATCTCAGCACCATGTCACAAAGTAAATCAGAAAGAAGAGGTAAGATTTGACAGCACATCAACCTTTAAACTAAAGCTTAGTATATGAGTCGGAGTTGGTTATAACTTCTTCACCAGCTGGCTACTACCCATATTCATGCATATTTGTTTCCTGCCTTGTTTTCTTCTTGAAGTAAAATAGAAAAGGGTAAAAATAAAATTCCTGACATTTATTGTGTCTTTCTGAAACTGTGTATTATTTTCTATCGAGTATGAGCTTTTGGGGCACAAATTCCACATCTGTTATCCTCAAACACTTTGGAATCTCCCTAGGCGCTCCTTAGAAATTCTTGGTCCTCACCTCCCACCTAGACATTCTGATTCAGATGGTCTGGAGTGAAGCCCAGATAGCTGTATTTTTAATCCTAGGTCAATTATGATGCACACAAAAGCTTGAGAACTCTGACCTGTGTGTTTTGTTTTTTTGTTTTTTTAATACATATTTTTTTATTTTAAAATTGTGGAGTACAGTTAAGGGTTACGTATACAAATATGCATTGTGCAGCTATCCTTGTTGATGAGGTGTGCCCCCCCATCTCCAGACAGATATTGATTACCATTAATCCCACCTCCCTTCCCCTTCCTGCCCCCCCATAGTTTCCCACCACTGTCAATCCTTTTCTTATAGTATTACGATAGATGTTCAAGGTCCACTTATAAGTGAGAACATGTGATACTCAGATCTTTGTTTCTGTGAGAGATTACTCAGTATTATAAAATCTAATTCCATCCAGGTTGCTGTGTAAATTCATGATTTTATTCTTTTTTATGGCTGCAAAATATTCCATTGTGTATATGTACCACATTTTTTAAATCCAGACCTCTTTTGAGGGACAGCATGGTTGGTACTATGATCTTGCTATTGTGAACACTGCTGCAATAAACATACGTGTGCAGGTTCTTTTTTTTTTTCTTTTTTTTTGAGTTGGAGTCTCACTCTGTCGCCCAGACTGGAGTACAGTGGCCGCTCCTGGCCACGGCAGCCCCGACCTGCTGGGCTCCAGCGATCCTTCCGCCTCAGCCTTCCAAATAGCCAGAAATACAAGCATGCACTACCATGCCTGGCTGATTTTTTGATTTATTGTAGAGATGAGGTGTCGCTGCCAGGTGGGTCTCGAACCCGCGGGCTCAGGCAATCCACTCACCTCAGCCTCCCAAAGGCGCGGGATTTCAGGCTGAGCCACCGAGCCCGGCTACGTGAACTATTACAGAAACAACAAACTGAAAGCTGCATGTTTTCATAAGTGGGCACAAAACATTGGGCATACGAGCACCAGGGTGGGAACCACAGATCCTGGGCCCTGCCAAAGGAGGGAGGGTGGGAAGCAGGGGGTTCAGGGGTACACAACCACTCGCTGAGCACCACATCCACTACTAGGTGGGGAGTGGACCCGTTGGAAGCCCACACTTCATTTTCATGCAATTCACTTATATAGCACATCATCTAAAGACAGTAACAACAACAAAAGCCAAAATAGGCCTCTAGAAGGGAATGGGCTGTCCTAGCGAAGGAATGCCTTAGACTTGAATCGTGGTATGTTTTTCAGTCCTCATCTCATAATAATTGTTACCGTAATCAACTTCTGCCTCCCACGTTCTTTTCAAGCCTATCCTTGGAACCTGCCATTCTTTTGAGTTTGCCAATCCTTTATCTAGTTTCTGAATAAACACTTCTGAGATCTCATTTTT